ACATATTTTCAAATAACCTGGTAGTGTAGACATAGCCAAAAAAGATTAAATCAGCCGTAGGAGAGGAGATCAAAGCCCACTCTCCTTGAAGGGTTTTTTTGGTTCTGGATCTACCCCATCCCTTCCCCAAAACCCCACCCCTTCCTTGAGGCCCCGTCCTCTCTGTTCCCCTTCTCTCCATCACTCCCTTATACACTCTCAGGATATGGCTAAACTGCTGCTTTTTTTTAAATCCTTCTATTGGAAGAAATTTTTCCGACATTTAGCCCAGCTAGACTGGGCCAAATGTCAGAAAACCCCCTTCTTTTGAAAGTGCCCTCATTCCTTGTGGAACGAGGAATACAGGGGCTGCCAAAAGAGCATGTTTGCCAGAAAAACTCCTGCAGTCTAGCCATACCCTCACTGGGTTGAGACAGGAGGTGTGGGCTCTGGGGTGTGAATGAGGGATTCAGGTGTGGGAAAGGGGAGAGGCTGCAGCATGGCAAAGTATTTCTCTGACAGTTACAAATGTAACTTGTACTGTGTTCAAGAGTCCGAGAAGGATGCCAATTAAAATGGCAACGCTGATGATCCAGCTATTGGAGGATTGCCAGAATGTCTATATTTAACTTGAAAGAGACAGCCAGCAGGGTTGGGACCTGGGAGAAGATGCAGGAAAGGGACACATCCTTGTAGCAGAGGAATGGCAAGGATAAGAGAGTCGGCAATCCTAGTGAGGGATTGTGGGGGTGAGGGATGTAAAGTCTGGGCAACAGGGCTCCAGCTGTCAGCCCCAGGGGTGTGTGGCTCTGGCTCTCCCTTCTATCCCATCACCACCCCTCCTGGGCTTGCTAGCTTTTATGTATGAGCCCCAGCAACCCAATGCTGACAACCAGAACTCTTGGGTGTTAAAAGCACAGTTTGTGGCTTCCTTGGGAGGCCCATCCTATAGTTTGAGAACCACTGCTACAGATCATTTAGCCCACCCTCATCCATATTGGGCTACATAGTACACTTTGTAGGGCTTTTGTCAAGATTTTCTATGGTTTTACATTTCTTAAACAGTGAGGCTTCCACCACTTTTCATCATCACACTAGATTCATAAGAACTATAAAAGACCAATCCTTCAGCAACTCTTACTTGTTTCCTGACATGGCTTGCCAAGCATAATATCCCACAACATAAGAAACTGAAGGGATATCCCACTGTTTTTTTTTTAAATTCTCACCACTGCTTTTTCCCTTCAAGCAAATAGCTCCAAAAAAGCTGAAATTTGAAACTTCAAAGTTGAGATGTGGAGAGTATTTAATGTGCTTCATTCAGTTTGAAAAATGGTCTTAAAACAGTTATGAATTTGTGGAAATGCTGGACTAAGCACATACAGTAGAAAAATCTAATTATGCTATTAGCTGTGCACTTAAAGCAAGATGTAGTCCACATGCAGTTAATTTGTGCTGCTATTAAGGGAATTTTCAAGCTCAGCTGCTGAAGCAGAAGAACACTCATCTTGAGATTTTTAACAATCTGGAAAAGAAAGAAAGAATGCTGATGCTTGTTTCTGCTGCCAACAGCTTATGTCTGGAATAAGGATAATATAGCCACATTCATAGCTACACAAGTCAACTCATTCTAGAGCGAAGGGATGATAAGCATAACTAGTATAAGCAAAGGATGAACAAATTTCTCTTACTGTCCACTTGTTTTCTTAAAACTAATTGCAAAAAGCTAGTATCAGTGCAAACAGGTTGTAGAACTAGGTTGCTGCTGGCACAAAAGTAGTTTCCACCTAGTCCCACCCAATTGACAAAACAGCAGAAGGAGCTCAATCCAGCTCCCTTGACTCAGTGGAAACACTAAAAGGGTATGGCTACACTGGGGAGAAGGCAAGTATCAACACTACCAAGCCTATTATTTTGAAATAATGGACTTCTTATTTCAAAATAACTCTTGCTTATGAAGATGAATAAGCTTATTTTGAAGTAGTCATCTCGAGAGTTATTATTTTGAAATAACATATTTTCAAATAACCTGGTAGTGTAGACATAGCCAAAAAAGATTAAATCAGCCGTAGGAGAGGAGATCAAAGCCCACTCTCCTTGAAGGGTTTTTTTGGTTCTGGATCTACCCCATCCCTTCCCCAAAACCCCACCCCTTCCTTGAGGCCCCGTCCTCTCTGTTCCCCTTCTCTCCATCACTCCCTTATACACTCTCAGGATATGGCTAAACTGCTGCTTTTTTTTAAATCCTTCTATTGGAAGAAATTTTTCCGACATTTAGCCCAGCTAGACTGGGCCAAATGTCAGAAAACCCCCTTCTTTTGAAAGTGCCCTCATTCCTTGTGGAACGAGGAATACAGGGGCTGCCAAAAGAGCATGTTTGCCAGAAAAACTCCTGCAGTCTAGCCATACCCTCACTGGGTTGAGACAGGAGGTGTGGGCTCTGGGGTGTGAATGAGGGATTCAGGTGTGGGAAAGGGGAGAGGTGCAAGCTCTGGCAGGGAATTTGGTTGCAGGAGGATGTGGAGAAGGGGATGCTGGCTCAGGGAGGGGGCTCCAGGCTGGGGACTGTTGGGCTCAGGTGGAGAGTTGGGGTACTGAGCAAGCCACAGGCTTATGGATGAGAGGGAGCAGGAGTTTGGGTTGGGGTTTGGGAGGGACTCAGGGCAAGGAGGTTGGGAGTACGCTGAGGATGTGGGGGTACAGGAGTTTGGGGATGTGAGAGGCTTGGGACAGGGGGTTCTAGTGTATGATAGGCTCAGATTTGGAGTCAGGGTGGAGGGTTTTATGATGCTGTGGCCAGATGAGGACTTGGCCCCAATTGGGGGCTTGTTGGCCAGGCTTCATTTTTAAATAAAATACTATGTCAAACACAAAAGGTTTCAGCATTGTCTTTATTTATGACCGGGGGGGGGGAGGGGGGAGACCTGTTTTGAGTCAGGGGTCACTGACCCACAGAAAAGTCAGTTGGGGCCAAACAAGTGAGATACAAAACACAACCCCTTCAAACCCCTCAAACCTCACTAATGGGGTCACAACTGTGCTGGTGGGAGCAGGGGACATGGTGCTGGGACAGGGAACAGGGTGCCAAATGGGTGCTGGGGCAGGGGACAGGGCGCTTGTAGGTGCTGGGGCAGGGTACTTGTGGGGGTGTAGGTGGGGGGCGGAGGGGACAGGGACCGGTACCTGGGGATCCTGCAGATGCATGCCAAGGCCCAGGAAATGTGCAGGCTGCTCCCCCGTCCCCCAAACAGCAGCACGGTACCTGAAATGCTGGTCTGTTGCACACCTGATGCCTTCCTGCATGGAGGGAGGGGGAGCCCTGGACCGTGCCAGCCCCGACCGCTCAGACAGCACGCACCTTGCTCCTCTGCTTCCCACAGCAGCCTGTGCGAACCGGCTTTTTAGGTACCGCATCAGCTGTTGGAGGAGGGCAGAGAGCAGCCCACGCACTCCTGAGACCTGGCACGCAGCTGCAGAACTCCCCTGACCCGCAGAAAGCTTGTTCTACCTCTGTGGTCCCTGGAGGTAGCATCAGCGTGGCATGCACCTTGGGAGTGGGGAGCGGCAAGGGGGGGAGGGAGAACGCTCAAAAACCGGCTTTTTAGGTACCGCATCAGCTGTTGGAGGAGGGCAGAGAGCAGCCCACGCACTCCTGAGACCTGGCACGCAGCTGCAGAACTCCCCTGACCCGCAGAAAGCTTGTTCTACCTCTGTGGTCCCTGGAGGTAGCATCAGCGTGGCATGCACCTTGGGAGTGGGGAGCGGCAAGGGGGGGAGGGAGAACGCTCAAAGCCTCGCAATCGACTGGTCGTGCCTCCAGGATCGACCAGTCAATCATGATCAACGGGTTGGTGACCACACCTCTAGGAAGTACCTCTATGATGTCAGATGCAGAAAGTTAAATTAAAAACAAATGGCTAGAAATGTTCTCCTATATTCTTTTTCTGTTGTAGGGATATTAAGTTTTACTTAAACAACAGTAGGCAAACACAAATAAAAAGTGTGACTTCAGTTTGGCATTATCCCTTAACATAAAACATAAGACTTCAGGCAAAAATATTGGAACAATCACCAAATGCCTAATTAACAACAACAAAACAAAGCAACGAGACATTGACATTTTTAAAATATATCGTGGCCACCCATGCAGGAAAGTTTTTGCACATAATCAGTGTGCATAGCCAGGCCACGATGTTAGCAAACATTTCCTTTTCGATCTGTGCAACAACTGCTAATTATGTTTAAAATATACAATTTCAACAGGAGATTTAATTAAATGCAGATAAACAATCTGGTTTCATATGTCTGGAGTATAATCATTTAGTTTGAAAAGAAAATAGATACAGCAAAGAGTCAGAAAATAATATTAAAGAGAAGAGTTAATAAGTATACTTAATTACTTTCTCATCATGGAAGAGCCAAATGGGCACACAATGGAATTAAAAAGGCCAAATAAGAACAAACAGATCTAAGGAAGATCTAAATGGAACGCACATAAAAACTGTCCAAAACTCACTGCCACCGTATTACACTGCCACCGTTCATTTCCTTCTCCTTCCTTCACTTACACATATACTGTGGCTACTCCAATTCAACTAAATTTAATAACTAATAGCTTTAATAAATCATCTAAGAGGACTTACACAGATAGTCATGATCTTAATAATTTACAAATGAAATCAGTTTGTCACATTTGTTCAAACAGATTGAGAAGTTGCAGTGGACCAGAATTATATCACAGAAAATTATATTACTGGAGAAAATGTAAACTATTATACATACACACATTTGTGAAATTAATTAGTATTTGTTTTGACAGGTGAGTCTTTGCATAAATTTCAAAGACTGATTTGCACAAGTTCCATAATCATCCTTCCTTCTTGCCTAGATGGGCAATCTGGAAGCTAACTTCCCATGTAAAAAGGAGTCACAGAAAAGGTAAAAAACACTGCTCAAAAGCCAATGGGAAAAGGGTGTATACTTTTTTAAAAAATCTTTTCATCTTTTGTTTTCAATATTACCTGTCCCAGCCCATGCTGACTGAGCATCGCTAAGCGTTATCATAAAGCCAGTTCCTAGGTCTTTTTCCCAAGTGACTTGCAGAAAATATATTGTGCCTGGCTCAGAAACTGGATAAATTCTGCTCACTTTCTTCTCCATTCTTTAGTCCACCTGTTTTGGAAACAAAAGAAAGTAATCTTGTATTTACTCCCTCTCACAACAGATGAATTCTCATTTAGTGCAGCTTAAAGACCTTGTGCCACCAGAATAGCCCACACGAGATTCCAGACAAGCATTTGCTTTGGATTTGAGTCTGCGCTACCAAGGAAGACTTGCACATGGAGAATAGCATTCTGGAATTAGTAAAATGGTGGCAGTGTACCAAAGGACAAGCAAAGTAAAAAAGAGACAAGATTAAAAAGTGTCTCCATTCATAGGCCTCAGATTCCATTTCTCCTTGATCCAGGTTATTCCCAGTAAAATGAAATCACAAAACTCTAGACCAACCCCAAGTTCAGGTTGGCACTTCACTACGAGGGGTTCTTTGGATCCAGACGTCTTCCCTTAGGCCCTTCAGGTCTACCAGCAGCAGGTCCCCTATTCCCAGAGGTGGGAAAATACCAGTCCATGTGATCTGATGGATCCTTGATGGTTCCCAACCAATATATTTACTTGAGGCACATGTGATCACAGTCCCCATTACACGTGGATCACTGTTCTGAGTTAATGGGAACTGTAGAAAGCAGTGTCCCAGTCTACAGCCAATGGAAGCAAAGGAGGCAGGGGCCTGAGGCTAGCAGGCATGGAGTCAGGTAAGCATCTCACATTGCCCTCATGACCAAACCCTGCACCCTCATCTCCCTCACACACCCACCATCCTGCCAAGACCCTGCACTCTCACCCCATCCCTGCACCTTACCAAGCTCCCCCCCCCTCCCCGGCCCATCAGCCTGCTCCTGCTCCCTACCTCCCAAGCCAGACCTTCTACCCCCATCCCTCCTGCACTCATTTTGTCATCATAGGTGGATGGGCTGGTGGTTTGCAGAAAGGTCTGCGTTGATCAGGGCTGTAGGACAAAAAGTTCGAGAACCATTATGCTAGAGAAATCTGCCAAAGACAGCCAAGAATTCTTGTTCACTTATACTTTAAGACCAAAGTTTTGTAACCATAGATGCTGAACATTACTCAATGCCTTATTTTCAGATGAACTCAGAATCCATAAATCCCACTGAAGTCAATAGGAGCTACAGTTACTCAGTACTAGGGTTTCCAGGTATCCAGTATTGAACTGGACAGTTCGGTATTTTTGTCTCCTGTCCAGTAAAAAAATTCAGAAAATACTGGACACCTAAAATGTCCGGTACTTTCTGATTTTTTCCCGGACAGGAGGTGAAAATTATGGGCTGTCCCGCTCAATATGGAGGCAGCCTGTCAACCCTAGTGCTTACTGGGTTCTGCAGGGGAGCTGTCCAGCACCATGCAGGGAGGTAAGATGGCAGGCGGCCTCCGGCAGCCTGTTAGGGCCAAAAAGCCTCACCACACTTTTTTTGACTAAGGGGCCATGGTTTTTTTTGTTGTTGTTGGGGCGTTTTTTTTTGCTTAACAACTCTTGGAGTCTTTTTTTTTGGGGGGGGGGGGTATTTTTTCTGAAACCATCTGGCAACCCTGCTAGTGATCAGGCCAAATATTATGGTGCCTATCTTTAGGCATGTAGTTTAGAAAACATTGGCTTGCTTACATGTTGAAATTACTAGGTGCTTTTCACCATAATCAATCTTAAGCAGCTAGCCAATAAAGATTTTTTTTTTATTTTAGCTTTCAGGGCCTTTCATATTTAAAACCTAAGAAATTTCCACAGAGAAAACTTGTTTAAAATAATTGAAGTTGAGAGGATGTTAAGATTTACTACAACCAATGTACAACCAAAACATTTAAATATTTCTACCATAAAAAGAAAAAGAACTCATATCAAGGGTCAAAAAGTCTGGAGACGCACAGTTAAGAAATATAGGCAATTCTCCACTGCCATATTACAACAGAACATTCAGTATCAACCCAAATGTTGATCACCAATAGGATCACCAATGAGCCAGTGTTCTTTGGGATGGAATGTCGCCATTTAAAAGATGCTATCAAATTCCACTGCCAAACAGAAGTTATAGTTGATACCAGCAACAGCAAAGGAAATTTCAAAATGAAACTGGAGTCTGAAGCTGCAGATGCAAGGGACTGACGTATGATATTGTGGTGGATTTTGCAGCTCAAAATCAAAACAACTGAACCGTAGTCTATACTTTACTTGAGACCTTTTAAAATGTGCATTTGTTTATATATTGTTGCAATACAGGTCTTTATTATTTGACTGTTGCCTAGTAGATTAAGTACATAATTTAGTCTTGCTGAACATACT